AATGCGATCTGTTGGCCTCGGCTCCTGATTCACCGTCCATGAAAGCACCAGCTTCCTCAAAGACGAAAGGTGTTTCACCGCGTGTTGAGCCGCCAAGACAGCAACAGGGGCTCTTGGGGGGTACGTAGGCGCTAGCCGAGTCCCGGGAAGGGTTACGCATTAGACGATATGCATAAGAAGTACGTCTGGTCCAGCCAATGACCATCATTGCCCACCATATTGCTCCAGCAACGAAAAAGTAGTACTGTATGAGGAAGACCAGGGCGCAATTTGAGTTTTCTAGGCCCTCCTGCAGGCGAATACTGTAGCCGGAGGCCGGATCCACTCCACAGGCCACCGCCTCACGACCCAGTTTCAAACGTAGAGCAAATCCCAGCGCGTAGGCTAGTTGGCAACCAGCAATGTAGATGACAGGCCGCTCCAGCGGGTAAAAAAGACTCGGGTGGATGGCATAACTTAGCAGGGCACAAGTGGTCGCTAGAAGACAGAGTCCTGAGATAACACTAGTCCAAACAGTGGCCAGAGTCTTGGCGTTCTGAGAGAAAAGGATGTCTGCGGAGCAGTGCGGTGCACAACGTCCCGTCCTGTTGATAAATATATACGAGGTGGGTTTGTAGAGATGGGAACAGAAACGCAGTGAGGAGACCAACAGCGCCACTGGGATCTCATTATTTCCAAAGAAGGTTGACAGAGGGTTCTGGTTCAGACTGGCTAACCAATTCTGCAGTTGTGGGCCCAGCTTGGAGAGATCCATATTTGCAGCTTCGGGTAGATCCTCAATCTGTCGAATGATGCCTTCAGCGGGTATGATGCCCCTCTCCTCGGCCAGTTCCCCCCTGCCGGTGTGTGAGGTCCCCGCTGCGGAGGGCTTCTGGGGCCACTCCGCTTTGCTCACTTCGCCTTCCGAGGACCCGTGGGCACTGACATCGACTGTTGGCGTATCCGCATCCTCTTCATCCTCCCCGGCCTCGGGTCCCTCCATGCACATGGCGCCACCCACCGTGTTGCGCTCAGGAAATCGTGAACAGTTTAAATTGGCCGGCCAGTCAAAATCAAAGATACGAAGCACTGGGGAACAACGTTTCCGCACCCTTTCGCACAACGGCCGACAGGGGCCGATGAGGTGGTGAGTATTGACGTCACACATGGGAGCATAGACAGAGCAGAGGAAGAAGGCCAACTGGTTGGAACACTTGTAGGTGATGAGAGGCTTGAAGGTCTGGAGCTGATGTCTAGCATCCACCTGAGACTCCTGTCCCACTAGGTTAGGCAGGCCTGTGAAGTTGTAGAATGTGTTCTGACACTCTGGAATCTCAATACGGACGGGCTGGAAGCAACGTCGTTGGCCGATCGGTCCGTAGGCCTCTGGAGGGAATGCATGGATCGTGAACGCAAAGACAGTCAACAGAATGATGCACAGCCTGGAGCCCATAGTCTTGCTTCGGTTGCTTCACGAAGAATTGCCATGGATCACGACCGCGCGCGCTAACGCACTTTGTTCCCTCTAAATCCCGTTAGAAGCTGTTGTTTGCTGTGGCACATCCGGGGTCATTATTTCGCTAGAAGCAGAAAGCAAATTCACACGTAGCGCACACACCCCCGTAAATTATAATGATGGATGACTTTGCGTTGGCGTTGATTAATGTGCCTCTTGTGACACTGCCTCTAGCCAATAGGAGTGCAAGGTTCATCTGACGTTCTGGTTGGCTAAAAACTCGGCCAATCCGAAGACAGTATGTTTTAACAAGACATCTGTCTCGTCTCTTTCGCTCACTTTTCGCACGCCAGACGCCGTTGGGCGCTACCATTTAGTGAGATTGGGGCTGTTATAATTAGAACTAGTCGTTTATCATAGACGCTGTCATCCCCTTAAGAAGGAAATCATTTGGCGGTGGAAAGGAGCACGCCCCTGTTTTCTTCTACCCAGGCAGTTGACCGGCGGCTTCTTCTGAGCGGAAACTCATGGTAAACGTAGCCACTGAATTTCAAATCAGACTAATGTCTGAAGAAGACTAGGAAGTACTAAATATTTATTCCCCAAAAATCCGCTAAAAGAGCAAACCTTATCAGTGGATAAGGGGAAGCATTCACGGCGAG